GCTGTAAGCTTGTTCATTGAGGAATGGATGTCGACATTTATACCAAACAAACATCTATATGCTTCTCTCTTCACATTGCTGAGTGATCCAAAAATCCTGTAGATTTCTATTATCCCAAAATCATGGACTGTGTGACTTAACACAAATCCTTGCGCCGTCTCCTTGATGTTCTTCTATGTGTAGCCCATCTTTCCTTTATATCTCCAGATGTCCCAGTGCGTTGCTCATCTGACGAGTGAATATTCTCCTTTTCTCCGGCAGCAAAACCTCCACGGATCCTAGCAGTCTCAGCCAACAAGTCATGGATGAGCATCTCTGTTGTCTTGGCTGTGATCCCTCTGAGATACCAAGAAATGGGAGGTGGTGGTATAATCGCCGGCTGTATTAGCTGGTCCAGCATCACCCTTGATCCGATCCTTCCTTTACCTCCAGAGCACTGGTTATACTCCTCCAGTGTTTTCGGCTTTAAACGTTCACACATATGTTCGTCCACAAACAAAGGCTTAATTTTCCAGCTTCCTTCAAACCTCTTCATGAACCCGCTCTTCACTTGCTTGAATTTCATCTGCAGAACCCGTTTTCTTTCACAAACCATTTAAGGAAAATACTTGGACTTTGGTACTTATATCGGGAGAGGTCTTACAGAGTGATCTGCCCGGTTTTGATCCACCTCGACATGAACTGAAATTGTTCCTGACCACCAGAGAAATCTCCACAAAGCTGCTTGCTCTACTTCCACCACTTGCCTTAACCCATCATCTAACAATACTTTCCGCGACATAACCTCCTGCAATGTGATTCACAATCCCTGTATTTTGAGGCCGATGAATCTGGAGCTTCAACAAAACACAGAGCAAGATATATAAACGTACCTTGATATTCTTGAAGACTCTTCTGTTGTCAGGATCAATCACAATGTTATAGACTGCATCAGGAGGTAAACCAACGTTCACCTCGGCTTTGAGATTGCAAAGCGATCCTTTCGGAATACTCACCTGCCAAGATTTATTATTTGTCATATAACAAGATTTCACACTGGCTCTGATAAGACCGACCCTGTGGTGGAGTCTAGAACTCACCTTAATGACGGGCATCTGATCGGTCCACGAAGGGTTTTCTCTCCAATTATATAACTGTTTCTCCAGATCAATTTGGATGGAGCTCGACGAGTTTTCTTTATCTTGCCTCCATGAAGAACCAATCCCATGCTTATCATCTGTAAAATTCTTCAGCTGGGACTGTGACAAAGAGAGCAAAAAGGCTTCCTTTTTCAGCTCCTTGAAAGATCGTAACAACATCAGAGGGCACTGAAAGTATAAGTGGAATCAGAGCATGACCTTAAGACAGGTTTGGAGCTTCTGAGAGAGCCCAACGAATCTAGAGAGTGCAGGATCAAACACACTTGAGACCACATTTCTCTTGTTTCTCTCCGTGTCTGAACCCGGATTGCTACCAGTAGCCTTCCCCATTTATTATGTCCTGCAAAGTGTATAAGGCACTAAATACAATCAAAATGTATCAAATTTAAAATGGTTATACACAAGAACAAAGAAATTGAACATCCTCTTGAAACCATAGTCACTAATCGTCATAAAAAAACACAGAATTTAAGCTCAGAAAATGTTAATGAAACACTAAACGAGGATGGTAAAATATGTCAATTAAGAAATTGAATTAAGATTTTCTTAAACTATTGAAAAGCAAAAGCTTTAGACAAGAAGAACCAGAGCCCAGAAAAAAGCACCTAAAGAATCTGTAAAATCACTATCAGATCCGAAGCAGAGAAATCAAATGTGCTAAGCATTAAAGCGAGAGATTAAAGCTTTTTCTCCCCGACAAACCCTCACCGGAATCGAGGACCCAGGACCAGATCTTCCAACAGCGATCGACAAAGCCTAAAGGACAGATTTTTAGGGTCCAATCGTGTGGAAGCTTTATGTTGTTGTTGTGTTTTGGTCACACAAAGCACCACACGTTATTCCATGGAAGAAGAAGACGAAATTAACCAGCGTTGAATCGAGATGCGATGGTCCTCGAGTGGCACCTTTGTTGTGTAGACAAAAGAGACCATTGAGGAACACGATTGCCACGTGTCGTTTTTTAGCTGGATTTAGCGCGGAAAAAGAAAGGTAACGTTGAAATCCTCGACACTTTTTCGCGAACTGCGTGCCGTTTTAGAGCTAGGACTCCTTTGCATCCTGTATGCAGTCAGTACTCAGTATGTTGAATGAAAATTATTTATTTCTCTCATTTTTTGTAACATCATTTTTTCATTGGAAAATTTGGCCAAATAACCAAGAAAAAAACTAAATCTTAAAACCTAACCAAAACTATCTTATGTGGCCAAATCATATCCATTATATTTTGGGCTTTTAGTTACTTGTTTAGATAAATTTGTTTTTATGGTATTTGGCAAATTAACCTTTTTTTTATTTTACGAACAATTTTTTTTTTAATTTACATCGATGATTATGGACTAGCTCGATTAATTTCACTTTAGTTTTCTCAAGTAGGTAAATATGATCAATGTAGAGAATTAGAGTTGTCAAAGTGGGTAAACCCAGCCCATTTGACCCGTCCCGCCATGGGTTCTTTTTTTTTGACCCATGATGGGTCGGCCCATGTGACCCGCGGTTTAATATCGTTAGACCCAAACCCGACCCACTATATTTAGCGGGTTTTGCGGGCGGCTCGCGGGTTCTAGTATTATTAT